CCAGAGAGTAGCACAAGTAGTAGGGATTTGGATGTCATAACAAGAAAAAAATGCCTGGAAATTGCCATTCCTTTTCTTTCCTTGATAATCTTGCCCACTTTCAATTGGGATACATTAGTTGAGAGGTGAGGTCTGAACCTTCACTGCAATGAAACTGTCTTGGCTTATGTCTTTGCTTCCACATAATGCATATAAGGAGACATGAGCAAAATTTGCTGATCACTTGCAAAAAGAAAATTGAAAAACAAATTGCCTTAATGGTGGATTGCTCAGTGCAAAGGTTGTGTGCAAATTCATCAGTAAATATTACCTATGCTCATAATGATAGTTTGCAATAAGAGCTATCTATGGCTTCATATCATGTAATTAGCCAATTTTAGTGCTAGTTCAGGTTCTTCAGATATGTTCAAATGTCTGTACGTCTCTATATGGGAGGACATGCTGGATGATAAACAATCAGAACTAAGAACAAGTCCATTCTCTTTCCTCCTAAATTTCTGTCAAAATCTGTTCTAGACAAATTTCCTGGGTGAGATATTCATGTAGCACAGAGGAAGAAAAAAGTTTGGTCATAGGAGCAAACCTCTGCTCATGAAACTTAAGATTTCACCCTCTAGTTCTTACAGAATCTGTTAATTAAAACCTGTGTGGATTTGCTTTTTTCTAAAAGCTATACATATTTTTCCATTTGAATAAAGTTAAATAATAGAGATGTCTTACCAACAGACATTTCTTAACTGTTTGCTAATCTTTCACATGACAATCTGATAACATCTACAGTTTGCTCATAGGGTTTTATAAAACTTGATTAAATATGCAAGTTTCAGTTGGCAGGAGCTCTGCAATTATAAATTTATTGTCAAGTAAATACATTTAGAATTTGCTTGACCTGTTTTGTCTGCTTTAAAAATCTAAATGGACTTCAGTGTTAATTCTTGGAAGACCTGATAATGTTTTAAAATTAAGCTTTAAAAATCTATCAAAGATGCCCAGTAACAAAAATCCTTTAAAATTTAGAATGGCATCTTACAAAAGAGATCTTATTTTATTTATCTGTACATTTATGGTTAGGAATAAAGAAAATTTTAATTTGTAATGTACCTAATATCTGACTTATATCAAAATAAAACTATTTTCAGTGTGAATAGACTGTATCTAATTATTTGCCCGAACACATTCAGATACCAGCACGTTACATGGAAGCAACAGCAGAGACAGTGTTTGTAAAGTTCTCTTAAATCCTAAATCAGAATTTACAATTCATAATGGTTAAACCAAAACTGTTAAGTCTTAAGTTAAACCATCAAGTTAATGTGGTTTGTTTTGGCATACTATGTCAATACATGAGCGTGTTTGTCAAATATAGTTTAACTTGTTGGGCAAACAAGTCTTGTTCGTCTAGAAGAATAGAATAGAGCTGGAAGGGACTTTGGAGGTCTTCTAGTCCAGCCCCCTGCTCGAGCAGGAGAACCTATACCATTTCAGACAAGTGACTGTCTAGTCTCTTCTTAAAAATCTCCAGTGATGGAGCGCCCACGATTTCTGGAGGCAAGCTGTTCCACTGGTTAATTGTCCTCACTGTTAGGAAGTTTCTCCTTAATTCCAGGTTGCTTCTCTCTTTGGTCAATTTTCAACCATTATTTCTTGTCTTGCCCTCTGGTGCTTTGGAGAATAGTTTGACACCCTCTTCTTTGTGGCAGCCTCTCAAATACTGGAATACTGCTATCATGTCACCCCTATTTCTTCTTTTCTTTGGATTAGCCAAACCCAAGTCCTGCAGCCATTCTTCGTATGTTTTAGTCTCCAGGCCTTTGATCATTTTAGTTGCTCTTCTCTGAACTTTTTCCAAGGTCTCAATATCTTTTTTGTAGTATGGTGGCCAAAATTGGTTGCAGTAATCCAGGTGTGATCTTCTAATCAGATTGCTTTTAGCTAATGTGATTAAAGAAATTATATGATTTTAAAGTATTCTCAGTTTATATCTGAGTTAGTCCTATACTATAAAAACAGTTCCTTGCATTTAGAGAAGAAAATTTGATCAACAGAATATCTGTTGCGCTTTTCTCCACCTATGCAACTACTAGTCTTGGTTTCCATGCTATATTCCAAAGACTCTCCCAACCTTAAGAAATTTAAAAGGAAGAAGAGAAAAATGATTACACTAGCTAGCAGCAAGCACATACAGATTATATAGGCCTGCCAAAGAGATCCAGGAAGAAACCCTTCTCTGCCATTGCCCCTATTCTACAACCCCTCCCCAGGTGAGGCAGGCCCTCTGGCCTTTTGGAAAATTCAGTGTGAATATAGTTCTGCAGCCTTAATTGGGCTTCAGAGGACAAACGAACAAAATATAACGAAGAAAAACAGTAAAATTTGAATAAAAGAATAAAAGGACTTTTTGCATGACAGAATTAGACTTCATATAGCAATAGTTGCTAATAAGAATTTGGCAACTCTGTTCATAATGGAAGGTTTCTAGCCTGAAAGTAGACAACAAACCATTTCTCCTTCATTGAAAGCTTGATCTCTAATAGGTAGCAGAGGTATACCACCAAATAAGTTCTTAAAGAAGGGGCAGTGAAGAAATACATGGACTAAGGTCTCAGGTTCATTCTGGTCTACAGTTTTTATTAAATTTTATGAAACTCCCATCTAGTACTATCAAAGGTAGAACATTAAAGTGGGCCAAAAAGAAGGCTCTACAGTGTGTTGAACAAACCAGATTGAACAGACAGTTTGCAGGTTGAAAATGTTTTCATGAAGGAACACGCATCCTTGTAAGTTGCCCATAGTGCTCAAGTCTAACACACAATGGCAAAGGTTTTTGCAAATCTTGGCTTTGGCTTTTTCTAGGCCAGGGGTAGGCAATCTTGGCTCTTTTATGACTCGTGGACCAACTCTCAGAATTCCTGAGCCAGCATAGCATAGCTGGCTGGCTCAGGAATTCTGGGAGTTGAAGTCCATGAGTCATAAAAGAGCAAAGGTTGCCTATCCCTGTTCTAGGCCTATAGGTAGTAAGGAGTGAATAGAAAGAGCCAATAGAAAATAGAAATTTGAGCCAATAAGAGACAGCAAATCCGAATCCTCACCTCCAGTAGGATCATTCCTGCTTCCATGCAAATAAAAAAAAATTGGAACTGAACCTGGAACAGTGCTCACAAAGCAAAAATGAGTGAAAAACAATCAGACTATATAGATGTAATTCTTTATCTTCCAGTTTTCATTTATATTCAATATAATTACATGGAGAAAGGATTCTCTTCATAGCAAAATGCTTTCAAGCAGCCTGTCCTATTTAGAGGCCTTTGGCTCATTTTGCAATGGAGTCCTGGTCTCTTCTGATACTCTTAAATTACAAAATACTGGCTTCCTTTTTTTCCACAATTTTAGATCGCTTTTGCAAATTTCTGCTTCTTTTTAAATCCTTATTGAATATCTATGCAATTCATTATAGTGGAGAAAGCTCTGTTTCTCACAAAACAGGGTTCCAAGTGTGGAAAGAATCCAGAGAAAGAAATCTTTTGGAAAATATTAAAAAGGCAGAATATATTTCCCCAAAGGCAGAATATATTTCCCCAAATGATTTTAAAGACAGAAACCAACCCCCCCCCCCCAAGTCTCTCTGCCCCAAATAGAAATCAGGTCTGCTTCTTTCTAAAGCAGTCTCCATGTTTGTTTATTCCCAGCTTGGACTGGACCCTGATGAAGATTTTTCCTTCAACACAAGTTTAAAAAATTACTTAGGTCCAAGTGTGGAGAAAAAAAAATGGATTAGGAAAAATATTCCTCCAAACTTTTCTTGTGTCGTTTCTCACGGGTATACAATGGAGGGTTTGCTACATACATTGTATCCATGCGTAATGCGCATTAGGTTAGTCACATACTACTGATACAGCATTATTCTAGTATTTGTTCATTATTCTACCTTACTTTGAGTTACCAATAGCATTTCTACCCACCATGCTGTCTTAAAATGTCTAAAACCCTAACGCTACTTAGAATGGAATGAAAACTAACTCGGGAGCTGGGAAGATAGATGACCCACTGAAAGGTTTGGTTGTTTTGTCTAAAATCCCCCTTATTAGACAGTCACCTCTTATCCTTTGTGCCCGGAGTTGAAATCCACACCTAACAGAATAACAGAGTTGGAAGGGATCTTGGAGGTCTTCCTCCCCTGCTCAGGCAGGAAACCTTATACCATTTCAGTGGTATAAAACTTCCAGGGTTGGAGCATTCACCGCTTCTGGAGGCAGCTTGTTCCACTGATTAATTGTTCTAACTGTCAGGAAATTTCTCCTTAGTTCTAGGTAGGTTGCTTCTCTCTTTGGTTAGTTTCCATCCGTTGCTTCTTGTCCTGCCTTCAGGCGCTTTGGAGAATAGCTTGACTCCCTCTTCTTTCTGGCAGCCCCTGAGATATTGGAACCCTGCTGTCATGTCCCCCCTTGTCCTTCTCTTCATTAATATCCAATTCCAGAAACCGTTTTATATATGTTTTAGCCTCCAGTCCCCTGAGCCTCTTTATTGCTCTTCCCTGCACTCTCTAGAGCAGGGGTAGGCAACCTCGGCTCTTTTATGGCTCATGGACTTCAACTCCCAGAATTCCCGAGTCAGCTATGCTGACTCGGGAATTCTGGGAGTTGAAGTCCATGAGTCATAAAAGAGCCGAGGTTGCCTACCCCTGCTCTAGAGCCTCAACATCTTTTTGACATCGTAGCGACACATCTTAACACGGGCAGGTCAAGCGAAACTATTCTACACGTACCCAGGTAACGTGGATTGCTCACAAGTTAAATCTTTTTTGGTTGTTGCCATCATCCCCGCAACCCCCTCGAACTCCTGTTAGGCTCCATCTCTTTTTTTTTAGTATCTCTAGCAACGCCCGAGGCTGCCGACAGGCTCTGAGGAAGTCACGTGAGAGACGGAAACAGTCTTCTCCCCTTTTTAGTATCTCTAGCAACGTCAGGGGCGCCTGACCGGCCGGGAGGGGGTCACGTGAGAGACGAGAGTCGTCAAGAGTCACGTGACGTCAGGGACCGGAAAACGCTTCGGACGCAATCTAAGGTCGGTCGGTTAAAGAGTTCAAACCCGGAAGAGAGGGGAGGTTTGGATGGGGGGGGGGGAGCGGTTGCCGTTATTATGAATGGCCGGGGAAGGCGGCGGGGCGAGTTGTCCTTCGCGCGTGTTTAATTTTGTTATTAGCACTCCTTTTGCTCCCCAGTTTTGGGTGGGATTAGAACCTTCTGCCCCCTTTTCCGGCTTTTCCGGGAGGACAAGAGTAGTTAGGGCAGTGTTTCTCAAGCTTGACAATTTTAAGGCATGTGGACTTCAACTCCCAGAATTCCACAGCCAGCATTGCTGTCTGTGGAATTCTGGGAGTTGAAGTCCACATGCCTTAAAATTGTCAAGGTTGAGAAACACTGAGTTAGGGGCTCCCGGATCGGACCCGGCAAATGCCCGGCCTCTTTATCGCCCCTGAGAGCTCGTTGCTCTTCCGAAGATGGTCTCTCATTCTGGGCGTCCACCTTATTTGTTGCCTTTTACTTTCCTTTTCTTCCCCCTCTAGCCATGCAATTTACTTTGCAATGATAATGAACTTATTGGGATTGCTTTTTGGTATCTTTTCTACTTGCCAGGCAATGGGCAAATCTGGGATTACCGGTTGGTCTCTCATCCAAATACTAACCAGGCCTAACATTGATCTTTTTCTGAGCCCAGATGTCACTTCTAGATCTTTGGGCAAAAATTCATTGTAGAGGCCAGAGACAATTAGCCAAGTCATACCACGCAGGCAGTCATTCTTTATTTCAAAATTAACTGGTCTTTTAATTCACAATATGTTTGACTTTTCCAAATCCAGAATTCAAAAATATTTTTTCACAGCTGTGCATTACCACTGGAAAGGCTATTCCTTTGGCATGATCACTGAAGTGATCCTTGTGGATGTGGTCACTGAAGTTTCTCTGTGTTTCATAATTGGGTTGATGTTTGCCATTATCTGTAGGGATTATCCTTTCTTTTCAAGCCTTCGGTTCATTTATATATATTGAAGCCTAAGAAAGTAAAACTTTCTACCTAAGAAGTAAAAGGTACTATGCCCTGGTTAAAGTAATTGATACCAAATTTCAGAAGCACAGATTGACTCAGTGCAACTTTTCCCAGTATTTTCTAGGGAAATAGATGTCAGGGCTGTATAGAATTCCAAATTCAAAGAGAAAAAATAAGTTGGACTGTTGACAATTCATATTTTCCTGAATGTTGTGAAAAAAAATCACCCACTCAGATTAGAAGCCAAAGCATTTGAAGATGAAATGTGCTTACAGGGAGATAGAATGGAAATGGAATTTGGAAATAGATTGTGCAGAAGGAGAGAGGACCCAAGTGCAACACTTCTACATTTATAGATTATATATAATATAATATATAATACATTTGAAACAGAAAGATAAAAGAACAAATACAATTACACTGCAACACTTCTTCTGAAATTGATAAGCCATTAAATTGACTCCCCTGTTAAATTGCATACTTGTAGTAGCCCTCCGGATATTGACATGTACAATAAAAAACATTGATTATGGTGTAGTCTTCTTTTACACCATTCAGTTTGCCCTGCCTAGAAAGACAATTGCCTAGTTTATTTTAACTGACTCCAGTCTGGAATCAAGTATGGGCACTAAGTTATACAAATATAATCATGTCTATTAACTGCATAAAGAATCATACTTAAATATATGGGTATGTATATCTAATTTTATTATACCTCCACATGAGTTTGTACAGTGGATCTCAGAAAAAGTATGTTTGAATTAAGGTAGTATTAACAATTATGACATGCATGCCCATACACTTTTATAAGTTAACATGACTAACAACATATTAAAAACAATGAAAAAATTAACAAAGGGTAATAGTCTGCAAGGCTGACCAAGGTAAACTCAGGCAAAACAATAAAAAAAGCATCTGAGTGGGCCATCTAACCTCCCAAACCCAAATCATTTTTTTACCTTTGAATCCAGATCATTGTGTAGCCCCAGTAGTTATGTGGGGTCCTTGGTGCTCTCTGAGCTTGCTTGTTTTCTTGCAGACATTTCATTAACCAAACTAGGTAACATCACCAGTGCCAGTAGCTATGTTTTGTTTGCTATAGAAATAGCAAAGAATCTGATATCACTTTAAAGACGAACAGATTATCTTTTCTAAAAATATATCACTTTGGCTTTTCAGTGGACTGGCAATTCATAATTTTTTGAGTATCATGGCAGATGTAAGTATGAAATGTCTTTGTAATGATTTTGTGTTTTGTAATGATAGTGTTTTGTAAGAAGTTACATATTGAACAATTTCTACTAATGTTTATGGAATATTTATTTAGCTTATTCTAATCTACTTTATAACCTATATATCATTAGTAATTGGTTCAGATACGAAGAACAATAAGCCCATATGGCAGCTGAATAGTACAAATGCATTCAGAAATGTGGCCAAGGAGTTGGGATTGAGAAGTACTGTTTACTTCTTTGCCTATAGTGATTAAGCTTATGATCCTGGCAGTATTTAGGAATTACTGCCAATTCCTAAAGGAATATCATCCTTTCTAATGACAACAAAGCATGGAGTATGATCTTTTTATAAGTAATATAAGTGGCTAAAAAACCCTGCTTACTTTGTTTCATCCTAGGATTTGAAAAGGTTCCTGTATAAAAAACTACCAAGGTAAAATACTTATCATTTTTTATACCATATAAGCATGTAAACGTATCAGTGTAAAAATATTCTGAGTAATTTCAAAAATCTCTTAATAGTCTTGCAATTTTTTTCATTCTTTTCTGATGTTAACTTTCACTTAAATGTTATTGCAGGATGACATTAGTTTTACCAATGAGTCCTCTAGTATATGAAGTATCTAGATGCAGGTCCCTCTGGCTGCTCCTTCTAATCCTTTGGTCAAATATGTAATTGCTTCAGGGCAATCCCTGATAAAGCCAAAGACTTAGGCTAGTCCCAGCTGAAATAAATAGCATAAGAAGTATCTATCTCTCAAAGGATTTTGAATTACTTTTTTAATTGCAAATTTGGGGTGTTTGTGCTGGAAAGGGAAGAATGGTAATGGCTACTTTGAAAGCTAAGATTTCTTTTTTTGACAGCCACAAATTACAAACTGCAATCTGATGGACTCGATATATAGGAGGAGGGGTTTTTGTGTTTTTTTTGCTATCCCATCCCTTTCTGTTACAGCCCTTGCTGATGTAGAACGAGAATGCATAGTATAAAAGAAGAATAAGAGCAGAAATACAGATCAACCATTTCATAGTGGAGATTTTTTTTCCTGCTTGTTGAGAGCTGTAATTTGTGAAAAAGTACATGCCATGCTTGCGAACATTCCCCGGCTCTATTCTTGTTTTTCTATGTAGGGCAAGAAAAACCTCTAAACTGAGACCCTGGAAGTCAGTGTTAACAGTGGTGTGCAAGGTCAAACAATGCACTTGCCTCAGTATAAATACAACTTTCTGTGGTCACAAAATACAGGTAGTCCTCAACGTACAACCATTCATTTAGGGACCATTCAAAGGGACCACAGCACAACCGTTCCTCACATGTACAACCATCTCAGTGTCTCCAGAGTCACATGATCAAAGTTTGGGCACTTGACATCTGGCATGTATATATGACGGTTGCAGCATCCCAGGCTCATGTGATCACCCTTTGCGACCTTCCCAGCCAGTTTCCAAAAAGCAAATTCAATGGGGGAAGAAGCCAGATTTGCTTAACAGCTGCAGTGATTCACTTAAAAACTGTTGCAAAAAAAGGTTGTAAAATAGGGTGCAACTCACTTAATAACCACCTTGCTTAGCAATGGAAATTCTGCTCCCAGTTGTGGTTGCAAGTCAAGGACTACCTGTATGGAATTCTTTGGTTGCCAGCAACTGTTTAGTAAACCTAATTTGCAAATATTATATGGCCTCAAAAGTGCTGATAATATTAAACAAGAATGAACACAGTCTATTTCAATCATCTTTTCCTCCCTTGTGTTTTGATTAGAATTCATGGGTTTCAAAGCCTATCTCAAAGACCTAAAATCTGTTTAGCTTCAGAGTTACATCTACAATAAGCGAGCACCTTCAGACCATTTTTAGGAATAAAAATCATCAAATAATGTTTACAAAATTATGCTTACTGTTGAGAAAACTGTGATTATCAGAAATTATTTGACATGAGCTCATCTCAAGAGATTCAGATATTGTACTGCAACCAGGAAAATAAGATTCGAGTTTTCAAATACCCAAAAATCTAATTGGATGAGATTTACCAGTCACACACTCTCGGCCTAATCTACCTCCAGGTTAATTTTTGTGATGATAAAATGCGGAATTGCTTTAAGCTACACTATAAGGAACCCAAAATTATGTTAAAAAAATCAAATTATTTTATAAACTTATTAACAAGTTTTAAATTGCTATGTTTATTAACTAATTAAAAGTAAAAGCAAGGAGGCAGCAAACTCAAATGGCTTGCTGTCTTTCTAGACAGATGACTAAGCAATCTCCTTTTATTTTTTTTTAGTGTTGAAGGACTTCATGCTATTGTAGTGTCAGACAGAGATGGTGTACCAGTAATTAAGGGTAAGGAATAATCAAAGATGGATAAATTGGTGAATTGTCCCTTTGCAAATTGATTACTGCATGCTTGGTATTGAACTGTCTGCTGAAGAACAACCTTACAACCCAACTGAGATGACAAAAGGAAGATGTTTCATCCTTCTTGCACTTAAGTTTTAATACGCTGCTTTATCCTGATTCCAAACTGAAATTGTTCAGTCTGAGCTAGCAGGCACGCATCTGCATTACTCATAATTTTGTTACTTCATTCTTGTTGGCCTTTAGCATAGTTGTTGGTCAGCTGGAAGCATAATGCCAGTTCATCAGCCATGACGCACTTCCTTAATGTGACTTATGGAAACTGTGACTTTGAGGAAATCATATGCCAGCTTTTTTTGTGGGTGCTTTGAGTTTGAGTGACAATGTTCTACGAGCGATGAGTGGAAACAACTCATACTAAAAGCTGTGCTGCACGTTAAACTATATACTAAAGCTCTTCTTAAAAAAAGGAAGAGGTTTGTCAGATCTCCCCGTTACTTTTGATTTGTGAGTTTAAAATGTACTAATTGACTATATATTTAGGATTTTAATTAATAGCATTTCAGAAAGGACTGCAGTGGGTCGGTTTTTGAAACATACTGGTGCAAGAGCTACTGTATTCCGTGCTCTTCATTGCTGCGGTCATAGTTGTACCATATTAATATCCATGGAAGAGCCAATCCTGTTTCCCAAACTTTCTCCAAATGAATGGACCATTTTTCATAGGTCATGCTGAATCTCCACACCCAAAGGGTGCCCAAGCTAGAGAAAACTGACCTATGCTTTTTGACAGCCAGTACTACTTTTAAAACTCGCTAGACCTTGTCTGGATGTTGAGGACTCAGGAGTTTATACTGCTGTCCAAGAAGATGATGCTTTGCGTTTCTGCTTATTCTGTGAACAGTTACAAAATACCTTCTTCTTCTTCTAGTTGCCAATGACAATGCCCCTGAGCATGCTCTTCGACCCGGTTTCTTGTCAACATTTGCACTTGCGACAGATCAGGGCAGCAAACTTGGGCTTTCCAAAAACAAAAGCATAATCTGTTACTATAACACTTACCAGGTAAGAAATTATCAACAAGGTTGCTTGTTAGTGAGAAATGCCAGCAGGTAAATAAATGTAAAAATGCTGCAAAAAAGTTTTGAACTGGATCAGTTCAGGTGCCACAGAAAGGTCTGTTCAAAATCTATCACTGTTTGGAGTTTAATTGGCATGATGCAGGAACCTAAGTAACTATGGGCTTAAGTCAAGTTGGGTTTGTGGTTTTGTGTGCTGTGTGAATCTGGATTCAGTAGTTTAACAAAGTACTGTATGTTCAGGTATGTAGCTTATCACAATACCCAGCCAGTATAAAAGGTTTATCCAATGTTAAGAAAAACCAGAATGTTCTTTTGAAGTAGGGTATTGTGATGTTTCATGTACAGGTAGTCCACAACCTATGACCACAATTGAGCTCCAAATTTATGTCACTGAGAAATTTGATAAGTGAGTTTTGATCCATTTTACAACTTTTCTTGCCACGTTTGTTAAGTGAATCGCTGCAGCTATTAAATTAGTAACACGGTTGTTAGGTGAATCTGGTTTGTCATTGACTTTGCTTGTCAGAAGGTTGCAAAAGGGGATCACCAGGACACTGTAGCCGTCATAAATATGAGTCAGTTGTCGAGCATCCGAATGTAAATCACATAACTGTAGGGATGCTGCAGCGGTCATAAGTGTGAAAAATGCTCATCAGTCACTTTCTTTCAGTACCTTTGCCACTTTAAATGGTCACTAAGCAAACAGTTGTAAGTCGAGGACTACCTGTTTTTAGATTAGGTGTGACCTGGGTATGTGCCTATTAATATATTCAAAATATATTATTAGCACTTCCATTATTTTAAAGGAGGGAATAGAGAATGACTAATTGCTAATCTGCCAACTTGCAATACACAACCCATATGTGTAAACTGACCATAACAAAACACTTACGTTGAATGTTGAAGTTGTATTTCTTTTCTTGTAGGTGGTTCAGTTCAATAAACTTCCTTTGGTAGTGAGTTTTATTGCCAGCAGCAACGCCAATACAGGTACATTTTCAAAACTGAAATCAGCATTTCAATACTTAGATTTAAATGATCAGGTCTGTGCCCATTTTTTAAGCTAAATACAACTTTTGCAAAGAAGTCTGAAATTATTCCTGTCGTAAGGAGTAAAAGCTAGACCTAAAGAAAGCCTTATACCAAAGCTTTCAGAGATTATCCTTGGTCAGCATTGGTGGCAGAACCAAATATTTAAATTTTCCT